AGGGGAGCGTTAGGGACTATACACATCTATAATATATTGGCCACAATCTTGAAAACGTCATGTCTGCGGTTAAAATATAAAAATAAATATCACGACTTAAAGTAGACTGGATAACCTGCTCTAAATGACGTTATGACGTCGCGGTCTGACGTATAGACCACGTTATCCAGTCTCGTCTGAAAGTAGCCCTGGATGAAATAAATATAATTAAATTCACTGTTTGGTTCATGCTAAATATTTAAGTGTCTTCGTCCCGTATGAACAAACTTCTTAATTATATATGAAATTACCCCTTAATTACGTATGAAATTACCCCCAATAGTAGGTCCACTGTACATTGCCGTAAAAGAGATGAGGTGAACAATTTCGACAGATATGGCATACTTTCACCCCCATTGTAGGAATCATGCATCACGTAGCTTGGTGCAATTAGCTTCCGTTTTGGCATTTCATGATGTCCAAGTTTGTGATGAGTCGAAGAGAGATTTTCATTTGTAAGTTGGAAAATTAAATTGGACATTTGTATATAATTAATTCGGTTGTCCAAACGGGACACATTCATTTTAATATTTAATATGACTCAGACAGTAAATTACACTACATTCAAAATAACCTTAGACACATTTAGTTTTCGGAAATCAAACTTTGAGACAAAGCAATTTAAACTGAAATCGCCAGAATATCAAATTTAGCACGATAAGACTATACAGTTGTTTCGGTCGTATATTAATTAAATTGCATGACAAATTTGGAGACAGACTTGTCTATCGATCGTCGAATCACACATATTTTCAGATTGATTATGAGTTAACATATAGTGGTTTTAACGGAGTTCAGCTGACGCTCGTGTAAAATGACATGCTCTATGTAGGCCAGAATAGAACGGGATTGCCACATGAGTATTTGGACAATGGTTTGTGGGCTGTGTCCACTGGGTAAACAATAAGCCACTGGGTTGGATAAAAATACTTCCAAAAACAGTTAATAGATATTGGTCCGACCTAGTTGGTGATGGGTGCCGGGACCGGTTTTAACGCGACGTTCGTTACAGAGACTAGCCTGGAGACTGACTGATTGCTTGTTTCTGTGGTGGGCCAATTTGTAAATACGGTGATCACATGTGCACAGACACGATTATTTTGGAACTTGTGATTTAATTATGGGACGTTTTGGCATAAAAAAAACAATTCTTCTGTAAAACAAAGAAGAAGTTCTGGATTGTTTGCTTGCGATGTCACCGTAGAGCAGGGGGGGGGGGGCGTAAATCACAAGCAGTAGTAGTAATAACAACAGTAGATCCGTGGTACGACACCATTAAACCATAAGTGCATGGCTACGGCCTACGCCGTAGAGTAAACAAAGGCTGAAATTGCATGGCTACGGAATTTCCCGTATCGTTTTTAACAGTTTGAATTTACCGCGCTAAAGGTGGTTCCACGGGAAGTCCACTTTGGACGCCATTGTCTAAATCCAGCATCGACGTCCTGGCAATGTTTTGAGTAAAATTTCTGTAACTTTTCGCGAATTTTCACCGATTTAGGACATGATTTGTACAGTATCCCATTCATAGTTGCCAAGGAATACTGCTGGAGTTGGATTACGCTACAGCGTGTGTATTTTTGTGGGTTTTTTTTTACGAAACATAGCGGTTTTTTGTCCGTTTTTTGCTTCACGTAGAAATCGTAGATATTTGTGCTGCAGTTAAGTGTGTTTGATCATAATTTTTGGTTTGATGACTGTACAAAATGTAGTAGTGACTCGGATGATGATGTCGCCTGTCTAACCTCGTGGGTTTTCTTCGGTTTTTCCGGTATCCTCCCACTGCTGTTTCAAAGTTATTGAATATTTTCAAAAAAAAAATAATTCTGTATTGTGTACCAAAGAGATGCCTCTGAAAGCAGCATACTTCATTTCTAACATTCTGCATCAATAAATATTTTTCTATTGCACTAAGAAGTGGGAACTTTTTTCCCCCTGATTTCCAGTTGTCAATTCTACCTCCACCTACATTCATGTAAAAAATATTTCTCTTACTTTCTTTACAGATTCAGAAAGCCCTTTTTATACTCTTTCTAAATATATATATATATACTTTGTAAGGTTTGTCATTGTTAGAAAATACTTTTTTCCTCTTTTTTGTATTTAGCACCAATTTCCGTCGCAATGCCGGGAATTAGGCTTATGCACGAAAGGGGTTTGGGAACAAAAAATGGCTATGCACTTATGGGTTAAAACATGGGGCTCTCGGATAATACATCAAAAGGGAAAACATAGATACTATTTTGAATTCCATATTTTAATTTGAGTCCAACTTGATTTGATGAAAAACAATAGATGGACCCAATTACATATATAAAGAACATGAACCCTTGCACTGGCGAACCCAGGGTCACATATAGGAAGAGTCTGAAACATTATTGGTGCAAGTGTGATTCGGTAATAAAATTTAACCTTACCCACTATGTCTTATGCAGTACTATCATTCTATTCGTTTTCACTGACATCCACCGTTATATTACATTTGTTCAATCTGATTAAAACACAGATCTTATTTCGTTTCGTTTTAATACTTCAAAATTTCGTTTTACTTGTCTTTACTACACTAGGATCTAGAAGAGTTGTTATATGACCCGCGTTCTGCTTGGTGTGAGGGATTAGCCAATGAAATGGTCTGTTACGGCGAGTATTTGGGTATCCCACTCGAAACATCAACAAGCTGATTGGTTAATCAAATGCCTGACGTCATGTGGTCAAAACCCGCTAGTATGACCCCTGACGCGGCCTGCAATTGTAACCGGTGAGATCTTCATTTAGTGGAGGTCATCGAAAGTATATAAAAAAAAAACGAAACGAAATATAGATCTGTATTTTAATCAGATTGGTATTTGTCTTGTTTTAGTGTTGATCTACGTAGGTAACAAAATGGCAACCAAGACACCACTTTATATCAGCTGTCTGTGCCAATTGAAACAGTGTAATTAACTTAAATGAATTATAACATCTATGGCAGAAATCTTGGCACAAACAATTTATATATTTAGCACTAGTATAATTACATAATAAAATATATCACATGTTTTCTTTATTAATATAAAAAGCAACATTTATTTAAATGTAGTCATTACAACCCTTTTTTTATTTTGACATTTCCATCTTCTTTAAACGGACCGGGTAGAACAATACAACAGTTTGTCTCTATATATAGACAGGGGCCTTGTTTAAAAAAGAAAACGGTTTTTAAATGTAGTCACTACAACCCCTTTTTTAATTTCACATTTCACTTTCTTACGAGGCTAGTTGGAGAATCCAACAGGGTGTATCTAAATCCCAAGTACTTGAATAATAATGGTCAGCCTCATGCAAGTTGTGTCGGAAACATCAGTGCGCGATGACACCCTATGTGGAATCGAATATTACACCCACGGTAGCCATTCGAAACTAGCATCCCTATTCGTCTGCGATATGACCATCAGTCGTTGCGGACGTTAAGCTTCACGAAAGAACGCACGAACACCATTTTTCTAAATGCTCTAATTACCGCGTTCTTTATTATATAGATCCCAAGCGAATAAACATTGCTACCATTATGTGAAACAGTACGCCTCCCCGCTTTCCGTGACGCCCACCCCCAACATATAATTATTTTAATACAAACATATTTATCCTATATTTCCAGGTAACTAATTTGTATTTGAATGTTTTGATTGCTTTGTCTACTTCTACTTTCTTTTTATCTATACTACACGTTATTATCACCGGTCGTGTCGTGTGGTGAAATGTAATTGTTATAACGTTCAAAAACAATTTCATCATTCGGAGACAGACATAACTTAATTTCTTTACGATTTCTAACACAGAAATCACGGGTATATTATTTAAGATTCTGACATTTTTTAGCGAGTATAAATCAACATTTTAACACGATACCAGTAAACACAGCAGGAAGATATTGAATAAATTTTAAAGATAGTCTCTTGCAGTTTACTTCATCAGGTTTTTTTCCCCTGCTTTGCTGCCATAAATGTTGTTTGCTTATCAGAGATAACGTAGATTGGACCAACACGTGTGTTCAATCGGGTACAATATATACTTTTGATGAGTATGGTTAACTACTTATTTATTATAAACTGTGTTTAAATTAACTCTGGTGTGTTATTTTTTTGTGTGTTTTTGTAAACGTATCTATGATACCCATCTTAATGAACTTTCACTGCACATGAACTAATAACTGACGAGGAAATTGAAACTGATGAATTTGGTCACGCGGTGTAATGTAAAACAATTTATTGGATGTTTATTGCTGACATTTTTGACAGCAGGAACTAAGTTCAGTTAGGTGAAGTTTAAGGTAATGGTAGTGTTAAACATCGTCGCATGCCAGAGATAATGGTAAGGTAAAAACATCATCGCACGCCGAGACAATTGCGGTTTAAGGTAATGTATTGATCACCATCGTTGGTAAGGTAAAATGCATCATAGCACGTCCGGACAATTGAGGTTTAAAGTACTGTAGTGATCACAATTGTCGCAGGCCAGAATTATAGGAAAGGTAATAATCATCATCGCACGCCCAGACAATTGCGGTTTAAGGTAAAAAGTAGTGATCACCATCGTCGCAAGCCATTATTTTTTTTTACTTTCATTACAGTAATAATCATCAATTCAATCCTATTTAAATTGTATGTAAGGAAGTAAATTATATTACTGATATCCGTAGTAACAGTCATGGGGAAAATATGGCTGTGCAATATTTAAGGATCTATTATGCATGTCACATAAAATCATTAATACAATTCTAACAACATGGAATTAATTTATCATATAAATTTCTCTTATACTCATTTGTGGACGCTTGAAACTGTTGTAACAATTGTAGGAAAACTATGTCTGTGCAGGACATTTTGGGTAATATCAGGAAGTATTATAAATATTATGCACAGGGCCGTAACTAGCTCAGAGCAACGACGGGGGGGGGGGGCGGGAAGTGTTCTCAGGGGTGCTGTAAAATTGACGGACAATGTATATCTAATTTGTTGATGGTCGACAATTTTTTCACAGGGGAATTGAGGGGGGGGGGGCTAGACTTTTTGCAGGGGGTGTGGTTTAGGGCGAACCATGCGCCCCCCCCCCCCCCAGTTACCTAGTTACGGGCCTAGTTATGCATGTTATATGAAATCATTAATACAATATTATCAACATGGAATTAAATTAATATAAAAATCTAAGAATAATTATAGTAAATAATGCACGCTTGTAATAATCGTGACAGTTGTTGGCAAATTATGTATGTTCAGGATTTATTTTGGGTATTATAATATGATATAAATTAGCTACATAATATTTTGACATTTGGCAATAGGAGAGGTTGGGTGAAATTGTCCTATAAAATCCCCTGACCTTCATCGCTGGATAATTGCGAAACGTGGTTGTGGACCAATGCTATCGCAGGATTAGGTTTCTAGATACAATAATCAAGTCCGTTTGCCTGGAGTGAAAGAGATAGAGAGAGAGAAATGGCGTTTATTGTCGCGTATGGTCGACTCGACACAAACTAGGTCATTTCGGGACTAACGTACGGTTCAATTTTATTTCAATAATTCGCTTGCGCTTAGTGGTCATTAGCAGTGGAAGGAAACCGGGGGACCCGAAGAAAATCCACGAGATTGGACAGGCGACCCTACTCCTTGTCACGTACAAGCGGTGAATCGAAATTATGCCACTTGACTCAATGAGAGACCTAATGTTGCAACGCACACGCGTCAACCATTCGCCCCCCCCCAATCCCCTTAGGATATGTTATCCAGTGATGGAGGACAGATGAATTTGGACTTAATGAAACCCTAAGCATAATAGTGGATTAATCTATTATAATATTGGGACCAATCAATGACATATTTAAATAAAAACTTGATGCCTTTTACAAAATACTTTTTAAATACAATAGATCTCTCTCTCTCTCTCTCTTTCCAGCAAACACACAATCATCAACATATTATGCAAAATAGCAAGGTAGAAAAACAACAAATGGATCGAATCTGTCCCCAGACAACTAAGCTAAACCTTACCCCAACCCTCGTTCATTGCACTTTGTGCGTGGTGGACAGATTCTGGCATCCAAACAATAAGCACACTATAAAATTGTTTAGCTAAAGCAATTACCCGCAGCTCTATTACAAGTCCAAAGTAAAATATATCTGTGTTTATCGGTCAATTTTTTGTTCGAACCAAAATCGCTAACACTAAAGTTTTTTTTTCTCTTATTTCCCCAGACGCTTTAACACGGGCTTGGAGTAATTTTTTTCCAAACAAATTGCAACACTGAAATTATTTTTATTATTTTCAAGAACAATTCTCAGTAATGAAGCTAGAAATAGACCATAGAACCAGCACGACCGTCCCTATTGTTTTTGGCCAAGTAACCGTAATCACAGAATTTATTTTTCGGGCCTATATTGAACATATTGCTACATTGTAATCCCTTGTTGTATAAAGGTGTCTGGCTAACACGAATTAAACCGGTACCGTTACATAATTCAATTTTATTCAAATCTAAATATTATTTCGCTCTCTTTTTTTTTGTTTCGTGCGATTTTAATATTGAGAGTTGAATCAAACAGGGCCCCTATTCATGAAGATTTAAACTGAAATATTTTAAGAATCCTGATAGCCCATTGGCTGATAACTCGAATCATAGGACAAATTTTATTTCTTGACCAATTAAAAGGCTCCATTCTTAAACTACCCTAGTTTAAAATGTTCATGAATAAGGCCCCCTTGGTATATATCAGATTGATCAATAACATGATTCGAGAAACAAACACTATATATTATATATCTATATATTATGTATATTATATTTATCCGGGATATTTACGACAAAGAGGTCCGTATGTGGTTCGTTTCTCTCGTGTCGTTATAAGCAGTATTTAGCGCCTGGGTAGTCGGGTCCATCATATCACAATGCGATCTATCCAGTCTTAAAAGTTTCTTAAAAGCTGTTCTGAAATCGCGGTTAAAGTAAGCATAAAGTATGGGGTTTAAGCACGAATTGAAGTAACCAATCCAAAATAATATGCTACCCAAGATAGGAGGGTACGGACAGTCTTCTTTACACATGGAGGTTATCACATACCACGAGAAAAATGGTAAAAAGCAGAGAATAAAGGCGCCCATGATTACCCCCAGAGTTTTAGCGGCTTTATGTTCACGTTTCATCCTCTTCCGTTCGAATCTATGCACGTCACGTTCTTGTATCGAGCCGTTACTATGGTTACGTTCACTATGGCTATACTGCATATACACGGCGTTTGATTGGATAAACTTCTCTTGCTTACGTGCTTCCATATAAATTTTGGCATAGACGAACACCATGATAGTGCATGGAATCCAGAATGACACACAAGATGAGACACCGGCGTAGACTCGATTAACTATAAACAAACAAGCATTATGATCCCTTTCTAAAGCCATATAGTTCTGCTTGGTCGTGTAAAGCTGCGACTGGATAGGTATGTATGAAATCAAAATCGAGGCCACCCACGTGATTGTCAACATGACCGCTACTCTAGTTTTGGTCATTTTAGTTTCGTATTGTAAAGGGTGCAGAATGGCTATATATCGATCCATACTAATACAGCACAAATGGAGAATAGATGCAGTACTGAATAACACGTCATTAGCATTAAAGATATCACACATCACCCGCCCAAATACCCACTTTTCGCTTATCTCATTACTTGCGTTGAACGGCATTACCAAGATGGCGACTAAGAGATCAGCGAAGGCTAAGGACACAATGAAGTAATTAGTAATGACACGCAAGCGTTCGAACTTCATCACGCTCGTAATTACTAACAGGTTACCGAACACAGCTCCGAACATAATAGCCACCATCGCCACGCCCTTTAATACCAATAAAAACGTCTCTAACGAACTATTCACTTTCTCCGTCTCATCTTCGGGCTGGGTCCAATTCATCGTTGTGTTCACAATTTCAGTTACATCCATCGTAAGAAGTTTTATTTTGTAGTATTAAAAAAGAAATCAGATCGGCGGAAACAAATCCGAATGCGATACACAGGATTTACACTAAACCAAAATGTCCATGCTGATGATTAATCGGGCATCTGTCTTTTCAACTATTCCTGAAAAGATAAAATAATATATCTATTTAGCAAAAGCAAATTATAATTTGTAGTTCTTTGGATTCATGGCCCACACCCAATTCCTGTGTGTGATGTTTTGTTATTAAAGTGACATTATGGAAGGATAGATAAAGAGCTGGCAGTTCCTTCGTATAAAAGTTAATGTAATGGGAATTATCAAGACCATAATCAGATCTCGATGCCATCGTTAGCCTGTGATATTTAGTGGATATAAATACCTTTTAAAGACGAATGATTTAACGCAAAAATGGATAATCGAGACTGTGTTTATTATCGCACAAACGGTAGTTACGACGTTCGAGGCTAGCCTAAAACTGAATCGCTAATACCACGATTCAGAATGAAGCAATTTGACTGAAATTAGTTTTTATCTTGAATAAATGGTAGTCATAATTTTTTAATTCCCGAAGTTATCAATGTTTGTAGTTTTGACAAGATGTGTGCATTGATTATAAGCAGCGTATTGGTCATTTGAGTCTTGGCCTCGTTTCTCCATTTCTTAAATTGAATCATGACCGAACCGTTCTTATCTACTTAAGATCAAAGCCATCCGATGGCATCGAGAGTTGTTCATGGTCCTGTCATGTTAATAACTGTCTAATTAATAGTTTATAACATTTACGGTCCAGAGAAAGACCTGCATGCAATAGGCAGATTTAGCTCTTGCATGATACATGTTTAAATCACGGAAAGTTTAATATTTGTTGTATCCCCCACAGACGACATGAACAAGTCAGTGCGTATGTACGTATCGTCTTTATTATTCCATTGAATCTAATTGCCGGGATATTATCTACCATTAATGGTTTGATTATGTTTTCTTTATCACATATTAGATGATCAATTTACAAATAACGGCTGGTGGCTATAAATAATAAAACCTCCAAATGATCGCTATTGGGGGTTAACAGTTGTAATTACCAATTAAGTTTTTTTTATCAGATATAAATTATAAATTTGGGTACATTTTTTTAAAAAAAAATGACATTCGATCGCTTTTGTTGTGTGGGGATTACCAATTCTTATATTACCCGATCTGTATTGGGGGGGGGGGGGGCGGAGAATGATTAGCACATGCGCGCTGTATCATAAGGTCTGTTATTGAGTCAATTGGTTTGGTTTCGATTCCCGGTTGTACGTGACAAGGAGTAGGATCGCCTGTCGAACCTCGTGGGTTTTCTTTGGGTCCTCCGGTTTCCTCCCACTGCTAAAGACCCCTACGCGCAAACGAATTATTGAAATAAATTATCGTTAGTCCCGAAATGACTTAGTTTGTGTATAGTGAACTTTACCCCCCACCCCTCTCTCTCTCTCTCTCTCTCTCTCTCTGTCTCTCTCTTGTATTTGGTTGTTCATTTTCAATGAATTTAAAATAGGGGATATCATCTCTTGACATTTACAATATATATGGAGTCACTTCCGGTTACAGGTCTTTATACCTCGACAAATATCATTTATCTAAATTTATCTGTTTTGCTATCATGAATTATTGTAAACCATTGTATATATTTAACATAACATGAATATATTACAAATGACAATTACGAAGAAGATAAATAGTTTTTGGAAAGGGGTCAACGGCTAATGGTTGGGTAATATGGCTGCTAAAGAGCACCCTTCTCCTGTGTTTCCCAGATTGAGCCATGGATAGTGATTGCGGAGAAGACTAGAATACGTGCCCAGCCATTCGACTAAAAGTCGATGTCCACTAAGGCCCTGGTCCACTAACAAGGAGTTCCCGAATTCGTTCTGATTTCCGGAGTGGTTTTCCCTTGCTAGTCGGATAGTCGGTGTACTCATGTCCCGTAAAACAACTCTTGAGGGTTGGAATTCGAAATAAGAGTAAGGAACAATTTCATTCATAGCACACTGTATGGGGTCGTACTCGTTAGCCCAGTCTGAGCAGAACAGTAGGACGTTACACCCCCCTCCCCCTCTTCTAACAGCAAGGGAGTAATTAATATGTGATCTAATAATCTTTTATTGTACGGTTATCAAGAGGCTATTTATACCTGGATAACACTTAACGTTAGTAAGTAAAACACGGGAGCAAACAACAATAATAAGATACCGTGAATTCCTGTAGATGAAATATATACTACTATTAACATGCACTTGTAAATATCTTCCTTAAAACATGCATTAGCCATACATCGTAAACATAATGAATGATCCGCCACCTCAAACCAAGCCAGGGTCAAACATCAGACAGATTTCTCTTTACTTCATGTACGACCCAATTTATATATACATTAGCTCCGTTTGAGAACAGACACTAAGCTAATTGACCGACATTTTGCTTACTAATTCGACGATTTTAGCCGAAAACACTAAAGTAGACTTCGAGAATTTTGGGAAGTATTTGTGCCTTTTCCAATTAATTTAATTTGAAAATGTTTAATTAGTCTTTTTGTGCATAGCAGATGTGAACCTGCGTAGGACCGCATTACAAAACAATATACAATATTGTTGTATATGGCGACCATTTAGGGCAGAGATCTATTCTCAAAGTAGAGTAGATGAATCTGTGTGCAGAACGGCAGATTCCCTTTAACCTCATGTACGACTCCATACGAAAAATACACGGTCCACAATTATTCTCCTTTTGAAAACAGACACGAAGCAAACTGACCGACATTTTGCTCACTAAATCGACGATTTTAGTTGAAAGCTCTAAAGCAAACTTCGAGAATTTAGGGAAGTGTTGACCATGCTTCCAATTAAAAGAACTGAAAATGTGTATTTAGTATTTTTGTGTAAGAAAGATGTAACACGGGCTAGAACCGCATAGTTTTTCAACATGGCGGTCATTCAGCGCAGATATCTATTCGCAAAGTAGACAGTTCACCGTGTGCAGAATGGAACGACCCATCAACAATCAACATGCTTTAGGTTAGACTTCCAACAGATGTATGTTATATCTCATCTAGTATATATCAACACGGACTCATTAATCGGATACACTCACAAAACACACCCACACACGTGTAAATAATTCCCTTGTCAATCAAAATTCTAACCATCACGTTCAACAAAACACAGCATCCATAGTTTGGCATGACAAGATGTATAACTACCATCTCTAAGGGAGAAGCATTGTTGGTGGTCAATATTGATTTTCTCGTTTTTTTAGAATGGCTCTAACTTTTTTGCCAAACTTCGGTTGGGGTTGTTGAACGCTTTCTACCACAAATGGAGCAACACGTGGCAACGTCTTGCTCAAACCATATGAGATTTAGAATGCAAATCTTGAGATACACAAACTGAAAGTAGTATACTAGTCAAAATGCAACTATCCGCCCAACATTTCAACCTAACCAACCTCTTAACTCGGTTATCCTTTCACTCACCATAATCTGACAGACCATGTAAATGCGAACACATGTTTCTAAGTCTACACCAACATGTCTACAAGCATCCGCCATGCAATTCGGATATAACGGATATGAATACTAGTGATCAACGAAATGTGAGGAATTAAGATTGGCCTAATAAAGGTACTTACACTTAAGTTCCAAAGCGCTTCATTTTAAAAAGATTGATTTACACTTACTGTACATATACCATTCTCTATTCTCTAACTTATCGGTGTATACACGGCACAGCACCAGGCTATCTATGTAATTTAATTCATAAAAACTCTGCATCTAGACCACCCCGTTCTAGGGCCTGTTTCATGAAATTTTAACTAAGATAAAATCCAAATTTTAGTAATTGATTGGATACTATTAGACTGATTTTAATGCTTAGCCAATCAAAATTGAAGTATCTTCTCAAATTTTGATTTTAACTTTAGTTAAGATTTCGAGAAACAGTGTTTATTAACAGTTCCAAAGTATAACCTGAAAACTTTTGGCTGCAGATCATTTGCCTACAATGCTGCAGATACACGGAACTCTCTGTCACTACATCTACGGACAGTCCCATCCATCACTAAGCGTCTTTAAACAAAAACTCAAAACTTACTTGTTTCAGTGTTCATATTTATAACTGTTTCCTGTAAACTTTGTTAGCACTTTGAGCAAACAATACTGTTTGGATTCTAGCGCTTTATAAGAACTCTTATTATTATTATTATTATTATTATAAGTAAAGCCTTCTGGAAATGCCTCTACTTGCAAATTGAACCAGGACGTAAGCTTTAATTGTAGTATTTTAACGAGAATCTTCGCCTATTATCTACAGAAAGAACAATGTAACATACGTATAGGGTTCGCTCAGCTTGAAACTCAAAACTCATTACTTTATTTTTTTAAACCCTATTTAATTATCAATTTAAGAACAACATTACAATGTTTACTTAATCTGTTATTCCATCTAAATGTTAAATATATGATAACAATCTTGTGTAGGATACATGAGGTCTTCGTGACAAGACATACATTTATAAACACCTTTGTGTTGAGATAATTAGTATCTGAAAACCGGTATTTATATCTATGTATTCATCTGTATTGTTAATCTAACCATCGACCTATACTTCAATTACTAATACATGTTTATGAAATATGATAAGGTTCGTTTTTGGGTTAGCTTGTTATCAACATTCTAGAATGCATATATTGTGATCAGCAGAACAGTCAGTATACATACACCACAAAACAACAAAGGCTTACCACAATTAAGTATTTCGTAATTTAAGTATGACTGTATTTTTTTGTATAGTCTGTTTATTTATTATATTTTTTTAGTTTTCAGGGGGACATTCAATATACATACCCACCCAAAACAACACAGGCCTTAACATAATTATTATATATCCTCAAGTTAATGTTTAAGTAATTAGTAATTTAAGTATGGTTGTATTTTTTGTATTGTATGTTTAGTCTTTTGTTACCTGTTGGTTGGATTATGGAGCAGGAATCTGATATATGTCTATTATTTTCATGACATGGTTCAGTCTATAATTAGATAGTACAGGTAGAAGCTGCATAACACACCACGGCCAGTCCAATCATTAAAATACTTATATTTTATTA